TGATTGTGTAAAGGATTTAAGAGTTCTGGTTAGCAGTAATCTGAAATCAAGACAACAGTGCATAAGTGTTTGCAATAAAAGTAACAGAATCCTTGGCTTCATAGCAAGAAGTATAAATAATAGAAGTCCTCAGGTTGTTTTTTAACTCTATATATCTTTGGTTAGGCCTCATTTAGATTATGCTGTACAGTTCTGGTCACCGTTTTAGAGAATGGATATACAGTGGTCCCTCGTTTTTCGTAGTTCTCGGGAATCATAGATTTTGGAAATCATAGGGATATTTTCGTATAAACATGGGCTCGCTAATCATAGGTTGACTCGTGAATAGTAGTTCGTCCGGGACGCGTACACACGGTGTGAGCCGGGGCGGCCCCCCTACCCAGCCAGTCTGGCATTGTTTACCAGTGAACAAAGGTCCCCTCACGTGCTCCTATGAAATATTTCATAATATTCCACTCATTTTAGTGCTTGCAAGTACTAAATAAGCTACCATGGCTCCAAAGAAAGCTCCTAGTGCCAAGCCTGTGGTAAAGAAGGTGAGAAATACGATTGAATTTAAGAAAAACATCATTGAACAATATGAAAGTGGCACAAGTGTGGCCGAACTGGCCAGGATGTATAAGAAACCCTACACAACCATATGTTCCATAGTGGCCAAGAAAAAGGAAATCAAGGATGCTGTTGTTGCAAAGGGGGTAACTATGCTGAAAAAAATGAGATCACCAGTACTCGAAGAAGTTGAGAAGTTATTATTGGTGTGGATAAATGAGAAACAATTAGCAGGAGATGCTCTTATGACTTCGATTATTTGTGAAAAGGCTAGGTAGTTGCACAACGATCTGGTAAAGAAATTGCCTGCAAATAGTGGTGATGTGAGTGAATTTAAGGCCAGCAAAGGTTGGTTTGAGAGATTTAAGAACCGTACTGGCATACACAGTGTGGTAAGGCATGGTGAGGCTGCCAGTTCGGACCACAAGGCGGCTGAAAAATATGTGCATGAATTCCAGGAGTACATAAACAGTGAAGGACTGAAACCTGAACAAGTGTTCAATTGTGACGAAACAGGCCTCTTATGGAAGAAAATGCCAAAGAGGACCTTCATTACACAGGAGGAAAAGGCAATACCAGGACACAAGCCTATGAAAGACAAGCTGATGCTCATGTTCTGTGCTAATGCTAGTGGGGATTTCAAAGTGAAGCCATTACTAGTGTACCATTCTGAAAATCCCAGAGTATTCAGGAAAAACAATGTTATGAAGAGTAAATTGTGTGTGTTTTGGAAATCTAATAGTAAGGCATGGGTCACGAGGGAAATTTTTGTCGAGTGGTTCAATGAAGTGTTCGGCCCTAGTGTGAAGAATTACCTCCTGGAAAAGAAACTGGATCTCAAGTGCGTGCTAGTAATGGACAATGCACCTGCTCCTCCTCCAAACTTGGGTGACCTAATTTTCGAGGAGTTTGGGTTCATCACAGTAAAGTTCTTGCCCCCGAATACCACTCCTCTCCTCCAGCCCATGGACCAGCAGGTCATTGCAAACTTTAAAAAACTCTACACCAAAGCAATGTTTCACAGGTGCTTGACTGTGACCACAGACACTCACTTTATCACCTTTATCACTCTCTTATTTACCCCTATCTCACCTATGGAATTTGTGCATGGGGCTCAACAACAATTAACCATCTCAGACCACTAATTACCCAACAAAAGGCTGCAGTTAGAATGATAACAAATTCTCACTACAGGCAACACACTCCACCAATATTCAAAACACTCGACCTACTCACCATACAAAACATCCATACTTATTATTGCACCTATTACATACATAGAACACTTAACTCTGATATTAACCCTCCCCTCAAACATCTCCTTGCCAACCTCAACAGAACACATGACCATAACACAAGGCACAGATCACTCTTTGATGTTCCTCGTGTCCATCTCACGCTATGCAAAAACTCAATGCACATAAAAGGCCCTAAAATCTGGAATTCATTACCTGTAAATATAAAAGAAACACTACCTGTTTATAAATTCAAGTCTCTTCTCAAAGATCACTTACTCACTCAAAACCAAATAATTACTGAATAACTGAACCTTATAAATTGTATATCCTATATGTTACTCACAATTATATCACACAAATGTTAAACCTAGGACCCAATCTAACTTTATTATTTTTTTAAATACACTACCTAACAGAATACTCCATTCAACTGAATGTACAGCAATGCAAACAACCATATGACCTGTCTTTGTAATACTCATTTGTGCATTATAGTTATCTGTTTACAATAATGTTTTATCACTGATTTCATCATTGCTTAGTTAATCTTAAGTTAATTTTAAGCCAGCCCGTAATGCTATGCATATAAGTGGCTTTGGCATGCTGCTCTTACCTGTATTTTTTTGTACCTCTGTTTGTATGCTTAAATTACTAAATAAAATAAATAAAAGATGGAGTCTCAAGGGAATTTTGGAGAGAACACTTCAGCATCCTCCAGTGCATAACCCTTATAGGTATGGCTTGGGAGGGAGTGACTACCAGGACTTTGAACTCTGCTTGGAGAAAATTGTGGCCAGATTGTGTCGACAAGAGGGATTTTGAAGGGTTTGGGACTGATCCTGATGAGCCTATGTCTGTTGTTAAATCAGTTGTGGCACTGGGGAGTTCCATGGGGTTGGATGTGAGTTTGGAGGATGTGGAAGAGTTGGTGGAAGGCCACAACGAAGAGCTCACCACTGAGGAGCTGCAAGAGCTTCAGCAGGAACAGCAACAGATCGCAGCTCAGAATCATGCTGCAGAGGAGGAGGAAGAAAGCTGGAAGAAGGTGCCTTCTTCAGAAATTCAATAGATTTTTGCCATGTGGGGTAAGATGGTAAGCTTTATGGAGAAACATCACCCTGACAAGGTTGTTGCAAGCCATGTTGGCAACATGTACAGTGACAAAGTCTTGGGCCATTTTAGGGAAGTGTTAAAGAGATGCCAGAAACAGAGCTCTCTCCACAGTTATTTTGCGAGACAGGACTCCAGTGACTCTCAAGGTGGTCCTAGTGGCATTAAGAAACAGAGAAGAGAAGCAACCCCAGAAAAGCAATTGGTACCTGAGGTGTTGATGGAAGGGGATTCCCCTTCCAAACTGTAAACAATCCAATCTCTCTCCTCCTCCAGTCTCCCATACACTAAGAAGAATCTCCAATAAAGGTAAGTGTTATGCTGTTAATGTTTCAGTCATCATTTCCCATTGTATTGTTTATGTACTACATCTATATTTCATGTAAAAAAAATTTTTGTTTTAATACTTCTGGGTGTCAGGAATGGATTAATTGTATTTACATTATTTCTTATGGGGAAAATTGATTCGAAAATCGTAGATTTCGATAATAGTAGCAACTCCAGGAACGGATTAACTACGAAAAACGAGGGACCACTGTAAATGCACTGGAAAACATACAAAGGAGGACGACAAAGTTGATCCCATGTATCAGAAATCTTCCCTATGTGTATAGACTGAGGGCCCTGGATCTGCATTCTCTAGAAAGGAGTAGAATTAGGGGGGATATGATTGAGGTGTATAAATGGAAAACAGGAATGAATAAGAACATAAGAACATAAGAAAGGAGGAACACTGCAGGAGGCCTGTTGGCCCATACTAGGCAGGTCCTTTACAATTCATCCCACTAACAAAACATTTGCCCAACCCAATTTTCAATGCCACCCAAGAAATAAGCTCTGATGTGAAAGTCCCACTCAAATCCAACCCCTCCCACTCATGTACTTATCCAACCTAAATTTGAAACTACCCAAAGTCCCAGCCTCAATAACCCAACTAGGTAGACTGTTCCACTCATCAACTACCCTATTTCCAAACCAATACTTTCCTATGTCCTTTCTAAATCCAAACTTATCTAATTTAAATCCATTACTGCGGGTTCTCTCTTGGAGAGACATCCTCAAGACCTTATTAATATCCCCTTTATTAATACCTATCTTCCACTTATACACTTCGATCAGGTCTCCCCTCATTCTTCGTCTAACAAGTGAATGTAACTTAAGAGTCTTCAATCTTTCTTCATAAGGAAGATTTCTAATGCTATGTATTAATTTAGTCATCCTACGCTGAATGTTTTCTAACGAATTTATGTCCATTCTGTAATATGGAGACCAGAACTGAGCTGCATAATCTAGGTGAAGCCTTACTAATGATGTATAAAGCTGCAGTATGACCTCTGGACTTCTGTTGCTTACTCTTCTTGATATAAATCCCAGTAATCTATTTGCCTTATTGCGTACGCTTAGGCATTGCTGTCTTGGTTTAACGTTGCTGCTCACCATAACCCCCAAGTCCTTTTCGCAATCTGTATGGCTAAGTTCTACATCATTTAACTTATAAGTACTAGGGTTATGGGCACTCCCAAGCTTCAGAACCTTGCATTTATCTACATTGAACGGGATGTAAATAGCATGCTGAAAATATCTAGCCTAGACAGGGCTCGCAGCTATGGCTTTAATTTGGAAAAATTCAGATACAGGAAGGATATAGGAAGGCACTGGTTTAGTAATAGAGTTGTGGATGAGTGGAACAAACTCCCGAGTACTGTCATAGAACCTAAGATGTTGTGTAGTTTTAAAAATAGGTTAGATAAATACATGAGTGGGTGTGAGTTGGACCTGACCAGCTTGTGCTACTAGGTCAGATGCCGTGCTCCTTCCTTAAGTGAATGTGATCTGACCTGACTAGGTTAAGGCATTGGCTTAAGCCGGTAGGAGAATTGGACCTGCCTTGCATGGGCCAGTAGGCCTGCTGCAGTGTTCCTTCTTTCTTATGTTCTTATATTCTTGTAACCAACACTGTTGAGAATCAAGAAAGATGTAAATTATATAGTGGTGATTGAACTTGTGCAGTGGTGACAAGACTTGTGAAATGATGTCAGTACTGGTGTATGGAAGGAAAAATCTGTGGAGTGGAGTGAGATGGAAGGTATAAGAAAGACTGACCTGGGATGCATAGTAGTGTAGCGTATTCTGGCTTCACCACTGGTTTATATGCTACACGGTGAAGAGGTGGCTGGTGGTGTAGTCAGTGTTTGAGGTGTACCCAGGTAAGTGGCTCCACTCTAACTAACTGCTACTGGCTCCCACTTGTGTGATAACTCCCCACCTTCAACCTGGCACTGTTCCTTAACCCCTCCCACACCTCTCATCCCTCCCCTTCTCTCACTTATCTTCCTGTTCTCTCATTCGCCCTCCTCTTCTCTCATTCGCCCTCCTTTTCTCTCACTTGCCCTCCTCTTCTTTCACTCGCCCTCCTCTTCTCTCACTCACCCTCCTTTTCTTTCACTCTGCCTCCTCTTCTCTCGCTTACCCATTTCTCTCACTCATCATCCTCTTCTCTCACACCCCATCCTCTTCTCTCACTCACTCTCCTCTTCTATAAGCCATCCTCCTCTCCCATCACCCTCACTCCTCCAGTGTCTTACACTACTGAGTTTACAGGCCAAGAGCTGCTATCTTAGCTCATCTCATTTCAAAACGCAGTCCCTATCTGAAGTGTGCCACTACACCCGTAGGATAACAATCACAATAATTGACATACCCAGGTACCTATTTACTGCTAGGTGAACAGGGTCAGCAGGTGTTTGGAAATTTGCCCAACCTCCTCCACTCTCTCTGGGATTGAACTCAGGGTTGGTTGAGAGCCAGAGGCACTATCATATCTCATTGAACATACATTGAGATATACCTTACTGTATATACACAGAATTATACACCTGTCAGTGTTTTTACACTGATATAGATCCTGGTGCATTTAAACTGATATGTACACCTCTCAAAATTTTCACCTCATAAAATATTCACCTCTTAAAATATTCACCTCTATATACACTGATATACATTTCTCAATGTATATACACATCTCTAGGGGTATATACACTAAGAGATATGCACTTCTAGGTGTATGTATCCTGTTGTGGGTGATGAGGTAGAGACAGGCACTAGAATAAAAACCCTGATTTGACAGACCCTGATTTAATTTAAGAACCCTGATTAGATGGACCCTAAATTAAAGAACCCTGATACAATGCATACTGATTTAAATGAACTTGATTTAATGGATTTTGGATTTAACAGACAAAATCTGTGGCTGGGTAACATCCAGAAACAACAGACAAATGGCAAATGGACTAACGAATGGATGGATGGAGAGATGGAGAAATGGAAAAGCAAAAGAAAGAACAAACAGTCCAGTGAATGAACTAACAAATGAAGGAATAAACATATGGACTATAACAAAGAAGCAAACAGAGGAAGGCACCAATGGATGAATGAACATAAAAACAAAAGCACAAATGAGGGAGTAAATGTATGAATGAATGAATGCAAATAAAATGGCAAGCAGAAGAATGCTTTAATTGCAGCCGCAAGACAAATAATAAGTTGGATAACTAGAAATTTCAAAACGGGAATGCTAACCCAGTGATGATACTCTTCCAGTCACTCGTTCTCTCTATGCTGGAATATTACTATGTATTAACGGGTCCCCTTCAATGCAGGCAAAATTGATGAGATGGAAAATATACAGAGATCCTTCACAACTCATATGAGCACAGTCAGGCACCTAAATTACTGGGAATGCTTTAAGTCCTTAGAATGTAGGTGAAAAAGATGCATCATAACCTACATCTGGAAGATACCTGATGGATTGGTCCCAAACCTGCACACTGAAATAACTTCTTATGAAGAAAAGAAGCTTGATAGAGCAGGATACATCCAATGAAAAACCGAGAAGCAATGAGTACACTGAGAGAGAACTCAATAAGTGTTAAGGAGCCACAACTCTTCATCACCCTCCCTTTATCCTTAAGGGGGATCACCAACTAACCCCTAGCTGTCTTCAAGAGGGAACTCAACAGATTCCCCAAAACAGTTCCTGATCAGGTGGGCTGTGGTGTATACATTGGACTGTTGATAGCAGGCACCAACAGCTTGATTGAGTAGGCCAGCAACCAGGAGGCCTGGGCTGGGTCTGGGCTGCAGGGTCAGTGACCTCCAGCAGTGACTCCGGGTTAGCTCCAGATGAACAAATGCATATAAGAAAGAATGAAAGGAAGGACAAACAAATAAATGAAGTAATGGATGAATGAATGTCTGAACAGGTGAAGGAATGAATGTAGGAATAAATGTACCAATTAATGAACAAGCAAACAAATGAAGGAGAGAAGAAATGAAAAAAATGAGTAAACTTATAAACAGGCAATGGAATGGGGAGAGGAAGGAAGGAAGGAAGACTGGGTGGTGTAGAATGCAGAATACTGGTTCAGGTTTCCTTCAAGATAACTTTGTGGCAAGATAATCGCTCAATGCACTTGCAGTGAACCACTCAAAGCTCCATGATAAGATAAGCTTGAGCTGCGTCATAAATTAGGTGAGAGAGTGGGAGAGAGAGAAAAAGATAGAGAGAGAGAGAGAGAGAGAGAGAGTAACACCCCTTTAAGGGGCATTACAGAAGGGCAGTTACTGAAGGGCAGTTACTGAAGGGCGGGCAGTTACTGAAGGGTTCTTTATCAAAGGAATTTGAGTTACTCTTCCCTTTCTTGGATCAGACTTTATTATTTCCCATTCCCGAAGAGTTTTGTAACCCTTGTATGTTTGCTGTTGTCTTCTAGAAGTATAATTCAGAGGACTGAGGAGGGCTAGTTAAGATGGGTTGGACATATAGAGAGGATGGAGCAGAATAAGATGACTAGGAGGGTGTATAAATGTGGGCAGATGGAAGAAAGGGTAAGGGTCATTCAAGGAAGATTTGGAGAGAGGGAATAAAGACTTGGAATCCTAGGGACTTGTGTGAGCATATTTGACCAGAGCTGATGCAAGTGGTTTTTATGGCTTGACGTGCTGTTGGAGTGTAAGCAGGGTAACATTCAAGGAGGAATTCCTAGAAACCAGCTACCAGGACTTGAGTCCTGGAGGTGGGGAGTACCATGTCTGCACTCGGAAGGAGGGGTGGGGATGTTGCCATTAAGGTCATCTGAACTGCATGCTTCTGGCAAGACAGTGATTGAGTGAATGATAGTGAAAGTTTCCTTTGTTTGGGGATGCCCTTTTCTGGGGGGAGATGGCCGGTGTCTTATAATAATAATAATAATAATAATAATAATAATAATATAGCAATGCGTGTCGTAAGAGGCGACTAAAATGCCGGGAGCAAGGGGCTAGTAACCCTTTCTCCTGTATATATTACTAAATTTAAAAGGAGAAACTTGAGTTTTTTCTTTTGGGCCACCCTGCCTCGGTGGGATACGGCTGGTACGTTGAAAGAATAATAATAATAATAATAATAATAATAATAATAATAATAATAATAATAAATATGCTGATTACTGATGGAATCAGTGATTGGGTCCAACAGGAAATATGGCTGAATAAACAAACAGTCCCTGGTGACTACACTTTGTATTTGTGATAAGCTTGTAGCCTCTTATGCATATCACTTGCGACTCATGCACCGCCTTATCTCCTTAGTTATGAATAATGCAGGAATCACTGTGGGATACTCTAATGTAGAGGAAACCACATGAGATACACTAATGGAGGGGAAACAGTATGGAACACTGCAGTAGTTGTAGGGGGAAAACTGTTGGCTACCATGTTCTATATTTTGCAATGAGTACAACATAGTGATCCATGGAGGTTGTATATTTATTGGTAAAGTCTCCAAAAATGTTGAATTTGCTCACCATTAGTTTTTCAGATAAGTGTAAGTGATGAATCGTGTTACAGAACATCTGTTTAAAGTGGTTTGACACTCGGCTAACTGTTTACCATCCTGATGGCTGGATCACTAGACACTTGCCTCATTTGATTAATTCAGCACCACATATGAAGCACATTTTGATGTTTTGTGACTGAATTTGTCTGTATTACCAACTCACTGCGACTGTAAACAGATTTCAGACTCATTCTTATAAATATGGGGTTGTTGATGAGTGGGCTAATTTTCCAATTTGAGACATTAAAGCTAAAATCACTAACTTGCTTAGCTACCATTACATAGGTACTCAGTCCTTGGACCCATTAAGTGCATGAGTAATCTTTTGGCTACCATCCACAGCATGGGTATGGAGGTGCATATTAAACTAGAAGTCAGAGGGCTAAGTCCCTGATGGAGGATCAAGCCTCTGGGTTTCATACATATCTTATGTACATTGATTATATTTATTGACTTGTAGTTCTTCAGTTCTCCATGGGGAAGGGAACAGAATTCTTCCTCTGTAAGCCATGCGTGTTATAAGAGGTGACTAAAATGCCGGGAGCAAGGGGCTAGTAACCCCTTCTCCTGTGTAAATTACTAAATTTAATTAAAAAGAGAAACTTTTGTTTTTCTTTTTGGGCCACCCTGCCTCGGTGGGGTACGGCTGGTTTGTTGAAGAAAGAAGCTCTTCCAGTGTATGAGACTCGTCTAAGTACGTACTCAGTGTTATTAACCCCTTCAGGGTCCAAGGCCCAAATCTGAAGTGGTGCCCCAGTGTCCAAGAATTTTCAAAAAAAAAATTTGTTATTTTTTCTTATGAAATGGTAGAGAATCTTTTTGTGAAGGTAATAAAACAAAAAGTACAGAATTTGATGGAAAATTGACGAAATTATGCTCTCACGAATTTTGATGTGTCAGCGATATTTACGAATCGGCGATTTTGCCGACTTTGACTCCCATTTTAGGCCAATTACATTATTCCAGTCAACCAAATTCTTAGGTATTTCACTAGTATTACTTCTATTCTATCGATTGAGCACAAGAAATCGCCAAGTCAACTGTTTGAACTACAAATTAAAGTGATCGGAAATTGTTAATTTGGCCAATTTAACACAAAGTTCAAAATATTCCAATTTCAAAATAGGGTCCAGAATAAACAATGTAGGTATTCCTGGAACTAAACTAACATTTCCTCTGTTCATTAGTTACGTTTTGAGGCTTTACAAATAAATTCCATTTTGATTTTTTATTCACATAATGAATTTTTATTCACACCAAAAAATAGAAGATTTACTGTTATGCAATACTGTAATAATTGTATAAATATCATCACCATATTTGTGAATGCATATTAGGCCCTCTAGCTGGCGTGTATTAGACGTGTGAGGTCGTTTGTTTACTCTTGAATATCGGC